ATATGTTTTTGACACAAGTCATTGTGATATAGGCAACCCATTTTATACAATATAAAGTAAATTTTTTATGCCCCGGGATCGAAAGATCCCGGGGGTATATTGTTTTTGTCATGTCTGTCTGTTTGTTTGTTTGTCTGTCTGTCTGTTGTCAACTTTAACCTTGCCCATAACTTTTGATTGGTTGGAGCTATGACTTTCATATTTCGCATGTGTATTCCTTGTGACAAGACCTTTCTTTATGTACCATCATATTTGACCTTTTGACCTTGACCTTGGAGTTTGACCCACTTTTGCAAAATTTTATGAGACTTTAACCTTGGCCATAATTTCTGAACAGTTGGTGCTTGGGGTTTTAGACTTCACATGTGTATTCCTTGAGACAAGGCCTTCCTATGGATACCAACAACTTTGACCTTGGAATTTGACCTACTTTTGAAAAACTTTAACCTTGGCCATAACTTTTGAACAGTTGGTGCTTGGGGTTTCAAACTTCACATTTATATTCCTTGTGACAAGACCTTCCTCTGGATATCAATCTCTTTGACCCTTTGACCTTGACCTAGGAGTTTGACCTACTTTCGAAAAACTTTAACCTTGGTCATAACTTTTTAATGGTTGTTGCTAGGGTTTTCATACTTCACATACTTATGTAATTCTTGTGACAAGACCTTCCTTTGATACCAACAACTTTGACCTTGATTTTGACGTTTTACTTACTTTTAAAAAACTTTAACCTTCGCTATAACTTTTGAACAGTTGCAGCTAGGGCTTTCAAATTTCACAAGTATGTTCCTCGAGACAAGACCTTTCTTTAGGTACCAACATTTTTTATCTTTTGGCCTGGATTTTGACTTGCATTTGAGAAACTTTAACCTTCGCCATAAGCTGCCGTACAGGGGCATCAGTGTTTCACAAACACATCTTGTTTATCCAATCAATTTCCGCATTATATCCAGCATTAAATTATACATGTATGTGGATCAATTATGTTCAGGCCCATGGGCCACTTATTCAACATCTTTAAGATGGGGTATTATATGTTTCCCATAGAATTCGTGAAGTTTTGAAATCATACTGGAAACGTAAGTGGAGTCAAAATGAATCCTTTCAATGTAAACATTGCTTTTAGTAGCAGCAGTCCAAATAACGAAGTCAGACCATGGTAAGCCTAAAACAGCCATCTCCCCTTGCACCTGAGCATAATACTTATGTTTACAGCTTAATTTTGCTTTCCCATTTTTCACTTCCATGAAATCCAGATGATCGTATAGCTCGTGCACTTCCTTACTGACAATGACTTTGCCATTAAGTGAATATGGACACTTGATCTCCAGGACACCTTCCTGAGAGCCCTCTGGCATACTCTTGTCCAGGATTTTGCCATCCCCAGATGCTCCAATAAATGGACATAATGCTAGTAAAGTCAAACCAAGTGGTTGGACAGAAACATCTGCAACTCTCCTCACAAGTTCTAAGTAATCCTGCCTGGCCATCTCCTCATGGTCAATTCCCCACTGGACTGCAGGTGGCATTGACGGGTACCTGTTATTAGGTTGTTATTAGCTCACCTGAGCCGAAGGCTCAAGTGAGCTTTTCTGATCAAAATTTGTCCGTTGTCTGTCGGCGGCGGCGTTGTTGTTGTTGTCGTTGTAAACTTTTCACAATTTCTTCTTCTTCTCCAGAACTACTAGGCCAATTTCAACCAAACTTGGCACAGAGTATCCTTGGGTGAAGGGAATTCAAGTTTGTTCAAACAAAGGGCCACGCCTTCTTCCAAGGGGAGATAATCATGAATTCATGAAAAATTAATGGCATCATTTAAAAATCTTCTTTGCAAGAACCACTGTGCTTGAAAATATGAAACTTATATGGAAGCATCCTCAGGTAGTGTAGATTCAAGTTTGTTCAAATCATGACACCCGGGGGTAGGATGGGGCCACAATGGGCGATCAAAGTTTTACATAAAATGCATAGGAAAAATTTGTAAAAACCTTTCTCTCAAGAACAGCAAAGCCATGATTGGTTTTTTTTATGGGTGCATCCTCAGGTAGTGTAGATTCAAATTTGTTTAAATCATGACCCCCCAGGGGTAGGGTGGGACCACTATGGGTGATTAAAGTTTTACATAGGAATACATAAGAAAAAGCAAGCCTTTTAAAATCTTCTTCTGCAAAGCAATAATTAGTCATATATAAATGCAAGCATCCTCAGGTAATGTAGATTCAAATTGTTATACAAAGGAATACATATGATATATCAATAAAAATTGTCTTTCTAAGAACAGCATAGCCATTATTTGTCATATTAATTCAAAAGCATCCCTTTGAAGTATAGATTCAAGTTCAAATTAACACCCCCCCCCCCTCTGAACCACTTTTATATCAAAACTTTTCAAGACTGAACTGATTTCTGCTTTTTCCTAGCCAGAGTGCTCAGGTGAGCGATGTGGCCCCTGGGCCTCTTATTTTTAAATGTCATATATATGCAGTATAATATTGAAATTACTAACAGGTCCAGCTGAACTCTAACATATTTTGCAAGGAAAAGGAGGGTAAGAAAAATTGTATGTAAAAAATGTTTTCTAAAGAGGTTAGTCAAATTATTATTCAAAATTCTAATTTTCTGTTCTTTGGTTTACCTGATAGGCAACAGGATTTGTCTGTATATTTAGAATGTAAAATTAAGTAAGAATGCTCTAAAGTTTAATTTTAATTTTTCTGCAGAAAATGAATCATACCGTTGAAGACTGGAACCATGGAGAATTCCAGAGATGAGGCTCCTAGGATGTTCCCCTGCCCTGATAATGTCTCCAAAGATTGAGGAAGTTAAGCGACCCTTATGGAGTGATATCCATTCTGGACTATTGCGCTGTGATCTGGTTCTCATCTCCACAAAGGACGATAACTCCTCACTGATTGGTTGCAGAATGTTAGCTGAAAGGTTTTAGAATACTGAAAATCATTTTGAAGTACATGCATTGTTTTATCAAAATTTTGATTGAAGAAATTGGCAATAAAATTTTAGTGATCAGAAGAAATTGAGTATACCATGCAGAGATTCAGACAAATCCACCAACTTTTGCAAATCAGTCTCTAGAGGATTCACGTAAGAAGTCACTGTTACTTCACTCACTGGGGTTGGTGTTCTTTCCGGAATATCCCATATACATGCCATTCCTGAATACAAGAAAAAAGAATATGAGTTAACCTTTTACTTTGAATTATTGTCTCCAATATCCCCTAATCTAAATGTGCAGTAGTAATTACCTGTGTTGGGAAAAACATCCCTCAATGCTTGGAGAGCACTTAAATCTGTGTCCCTGTGATCTGGGTGTCTTGGATCAAACTGTATAGTTTTTTTAATTGGTTGATCTCCACCGCTTGCTGAAATTTGTCAGAAACATTTATATCTTAATCCTGATTTAAATTTCTGCAGCTGCTGTCATTCATGGCTGCAATTACCATAGTTACCATAGTTACTTTACCTATTGAACCTGCTTTTCTTAAATTCATCTCGGATAAGGGTGCTGCAGGAAGATTCAGTTGTCTGGGCACATTCCATTTACAGAGTTTTGATGTACAGGAATTTTCTGCTTCTTTCTTGATAGAATTAAGGGCAAAAAGAAGGCTCCCAATGTGACTGCATGACTGAGCCAACCTAAAAGTAATGTGACAATTGTAGTACTTTTTTTTCAAATTTATGTAACAAGTTAATGTCTATTTCTATTTTTTGTGCTATAAATAAAATACTGAGTAATGATTTTTTTTATACATCATTCATATGCAATATAAAATCAGAATGTGAAGGGACAATGGTTCATATTCCTCAAGCAGGAAGCAATTAATCGCTCTGATTATTAAGTTGTGGAACTTGTAGTTTTGATAGTTAAGTACCATTATATATAAGGTGTTTATACTTGTATGACTTATACATACACTGAGTATATATACACAGGGCTTGAACATTACGATATCTGATACATGTATATTAAATGTAATTCCTACCCTATAGGACACTGACAGTAAGCATGGTTAATTGTCATTTCCCCCTCCAGACATCTAGCAGATATGAAAATCTGATATTTAATTTTCTTCATAGATGCAAGGCAGAATGCCTTGAAGTATATGGTTGAGTCATTCACCTGAAAAAAAGTATATTACAAACATGTAAAAGAGATATCATAATATGGACGAAAGTAGTTTCACTTTTTTTTTTTTTTAAAAATTGAAATTTAAAATACAATTATGTTTCCCCTGATTATTGTACTGCTTGGTAATTTCTTATTTTAATTTTGCCAACCTTATTATTATTATTTTTTTTAAAAATAGTTTTGCTACCGTCACAAAATAAAGATTACCTTGGCCATGAGGATTTCCTTCACATCTCCTGCCTCAAAATGTTTTGCAGCACGATCTAGACCACGAAAATTTTGGACTGCACGGCCTTGTACCTGGCGATCGACCATAAAGCGGACGATCGCCGAGAATGGTAGATCAGGTATCGCCTCCGCATCTAACGATACATACTGTACCTCGGTAAAATGGGGCGTATCTAAAGGACTACCCTCGAAATGGATAGGGACATTAAGGTTTAAGATGGAGTTGATTATTTCCTCTTTTGTCTTTTTTTCAAAAACCACTCCCAACTCCTCTGCTAACCGCTGTAAGGAATTTTTTTTAAGTTTGTTTAAACTTTCCCGGGTCGCCATCTTACTCTATGTAAACATTGCCGTAACCAAGGCTTTGCCGGAAATTAGTTACGTATGCACAGTCATATTATTGGAAATTAGAGAAAAAAACAGTCTCATGAAAAAATATAGAATTTATTATCGTAATATTTTACTAAATAATCTGTAGCAAAACTTTTATTCATGTTAATGTCAAAGTACACGTGAATTTATGCCACTCTCTATTTTGCCACCCCATGAGCGTTATGCGCATGCGTGCATATTATCTTGAAAGAGTCTATTCACTCTAGCCATTTTCAATCGGAGAAGAAGCCACGGAATTTTCCAACAAGCGATTATCATACATTTGCAGTATTTCAGCAGCGTTTTGGCACAAACTTTTGCAGTAACGTTCTTATGTTCTATTATGGATTAGTTTTTTGATAATTTAGGTGCGTATTTTTTGCAAATTTGCATTCAATTTGAAGTAAACATTTGGCTACGTCTGGTTTGTTTACATCTATAAATAGACAGACTCAGTCAATGTAAACATGGCTGCGGGACGGGTAAAAGTGGTGATTCTGGGACACTCGTTTATACGCCGTTTGCGAGATTTTGTGTTTGCAACACCGGATTTTTACAATTTGCGGCTATATCCTTCACATTTCTCTGTGGAATTTCGAGCAAGAGGAGGTTTAACGATCAGACAATTAGCAAATTGTTCCAGTTTGATAAACTTTGTGGACCAAGATGTGTGTTTTCTACAAATCGGTAGCAATGACTTATGTGATGCATCATTACCAGTTAAAGACATTGCCAATGCAATAACATCCTTTGCCTCATTTCTGATAATTACAGGAAAAGTGAAAATCGTGATTATTGGCCAGGTGCTTTTTAGGTCATCACAAGTTACAGACCCTTGGTACAACGACAGAGTCACAGAGCTCAATGTGTTGCTAGAATCCCTGTGCATAAATTCAGACACAAAGTTAAAGTTTTGGCATCACCATGGTTTCTGGAGTGATCCGAGTATGTCTCACCTATCACCCGATGGTGTCCACCTACAGAATCCCAGAGAAAATGCCCGTCCCATGCAGAAATATGCTCAAAGTATCAAAAGTGCAATACTGCATTGTGCCCGCACCTTCATGCTCAGATAAGTAATGTAAAATTTATCTATAGCCAGTATACAATTTATTCAACCTTAAATTTTATGGTGGTATGTTTATGGCACAAACTAAAATCATAATATTTTTACTTTGCCATGATTATTCAATGGCCTCAGTATAATTTAATGCAGTGCATGTATATCCTGTTTCTTCAAACTATTAAAAATGCTATATCAATTCAGGTTAATTTGCATCCTGAATTTTATTCATGTAAATTCTTACTTTGACAAACAATAACACCACCTATCATTTTTAACAATTCTATACCATGTCATTTAACTTGGATTCAATTTCTTTCAAGCAATTATACGCCATGTCAAGTATGGCAGACACAAATTGTTACTATGCATTTTTACGCCATGTCAATTATGGCGGATGCATTGTACTCGGCATGTTTACACCATGTCTATTATGGCAGATGCATATTTTACAATGAAATTTTATGCCTTTCAATTAGGGCATGTACATTTTTACAATGCATTTTTACGTCATATCAATTATGGCGGATGCAATTCTGTTTACAAGCATTTTTACGCTTTGTCAATTATGGCGGATGCTTAAATTGTATGTGCTTCAAATATTACAAGCATTTCAGGTCATACTGTTTGTGACCAAAGCTTGTAATTAAATAAGCTCAAATTTTGCAATTATATGCCATGTCAATTATTGCTAATGCAATTTTTACAATGCATTTTCACGCATGTCAATTATGGCGGATGCATTTTTGTTTACAAGCATTTTTACGCTTTGTCAATTATGGCGGATGCTTGAATTGTATGTGCTTCAAATATTACAAGCATTTCAGGTCATACTGTTTGTGACCAAAGCTTGTAATTCAATAAGCTCAAAATTTGAATTTACATGCCATATCAATTATAGCTAATGCTAATTTTACAATGCATTTTTACGTCATGTCAATATGGCGGATGCATTTTTCAAGCATTTTTACGCCATGTCAGTTATGGTGGATGCTTGAATTCAATACGGTTCACAATATTATAAGCATTTAAGGTCATAATATTTATGACCAATGCTTGTAATTACATAACCTCAAGAATTTGCATTTTACACCATGTCAGTTATGGTTGATGCTTACAATATTATGAACCTTTTGCCATGTTAATCATGGTGGTTGCTTTTGATTTTAATCATGTTATGTCGTGTCAGTTATGGCAATTACTTTTTCACATTTGATTTGGCTTCTTGTCTTATAATTTCTAAGATAAATGCATTGAATAGGCTAGTGTCCTTTATTCAATTCAATTTGCAATCATATTAAATTACAACATTTCCTAAATGTTGAGAGATGATAGTGATCTATACCCAAAGCTGTTAAAATTAATTGCTTCAAAATTATTACCTTATTGGTGAAATCAAATCTTAACAACATACTGTTTTAATTTCATTTAAATGATATATCAGCATTGTTTCTAATGGATGCCAATTAGTTATTTATCACTCAATTTTTCAGTATTTCACCATGGGTCCAAAAAGAAAACAAATCTCGTCTTCAACAACTTCTCAAAATGATGTGTCCAAGCAGGCCAAGCGTTCTTCAAATAAGCGTCAAAAGCAGTCATCTCTACCTGTGGACAATCAACCTAATATTAATTATGATTTATTAGCTGAAGCCATTTTGAAAAAACAGCAAGCTGTAAATGTCAACCTACTCAGTGACTCACCCATACAACAAACAGTAAATCCTACTCAAGATTCATCATCAATTGATGTTACTGAACCTGCTGTCTGCACCATTTCCCAAACTTATCTGCCAACCCAAACAGAAGCAGCAGGCCCTTCAACTACACAGACACCGACTACTACAGAACCTCCATCTACAAGTGTCAACCACATCAACCATTTCTCATCTTTTTTTGCATGAACTATTTGCAGGTGAGTTGGGGGCAAACTCTAATGTAAATGTGTCTACAAATCCACCATTATCAATAGATGAGGGTATTCCCCTAGGTGCAAACACCCCTCACAGAATCAAACAAAAAATTTGGTCTGATCAATTTTTTGACTTCCGTTCCCTGCTTCCCAATTACAAAGAAAGCACTGTCTCCATTCAAATTAATCAAAGTTCTTTAAGTTTCTCAAACCAAGCTGCTTCAAAATTTCCCACCTCTTTGTCAATAGAACAGTGGACAACTGCATTCCACATCTTCATGGCCATCTATATTGAAAAGAAACCAGAAGATGCCCCTCATTTATTGAAATATGCTTCTACTATTAGAGAAATTGCCGCCACCAATGGAGACGCAGCATGGCGTCATTACGATGAAACATTTAGAAAACTTCGCCAGTCGCATACTCTACCTTGGCAAAGAACCATTTCAGAGCTCATGGTCTCTGCTTGCACCATTCATCGTTCAAAGCAGCTTTTTCGAAACAATTTTCGTTCCAAATTTAATGACAAATCCCCCAAAGTGTGTTTCAACTTCAACAATGGCACCAAATGCAGATCAAACCCTTGCATCTACAAACATGCCTGTCAATCTTGTGGAGACTCAAATCATCCAAGAATTAAATGCTCAAAAAACCAAACAACCAATCCAAAATACCCAAAACAAAGTTCCTACGCCAATAAACGTTCCGAATCTAATTCATGAGTTACAAGGTTATGATCAGAATCTGTCTTCCTATTTGGTAAATGGCTTTCAGTTTGGCTTTAAATTAGGATGTGTAGGTGAGCCAACCCATTGTGTACACAAAAATCATAACTCTGTTTTCAAAAACCCAAGTATAGTTCAAGAAAAATTAACCAAAGAATTTACATTAGGTCGAATCTCTGAAGCTCACAAGCAAATACCATTTGAGAATTATGTCTGCTCCCCATTGGGTTTAGTTCCTAAGAAAACACCTGGAGAATATCGCATAATTCATGACTTGTCCTTTCCAAAGAATCAATCAGTCAATTCCTATATTCCAAAATGCAATTCTCAAGTTCAATATGAATCTATTGAACATGTAATTCAATTAATCAAACAATTTGGCCCGCATTCTTTAATGGCAAAGATGGATATTGAGGACGGGTTCAGGAACATTCCCATTCATCCTACTGATTACCACTTGTTAGGTTTTAGTTGGGATGGGGCTTACTTTTTTGACAAGTGCCTCCCAATGGGAGCCAGTAGCTCTTGTCAGATTTTCGAAAAATTAAGTACAGCCCTTCATTGGATAATGATTCATAAATACAATGCTTCAGGTATGTCTCATTTGATTGACGATTTCTTTTTCATTGGTCCCCCCAATTCAGAAAAATGCTTGCAAGATGTACTTAATTTCGAAAAATTGTGCAAAACTATTGGTATACCAATCAAACAATCAAAAACTGTTTTTCCTACAACTACTTTAACCATTTATGGAATCGAAGTTGACTCCGTTAAGATGGAAAGCAGACTTCCATCTGAGAAGTTAGTTAAACTCAAAGGTGCTCTTGCAGCTACCAGCAAAAGAAAGAAAATTTCACTTCAAGATTTACAATCCCTTATTGGATTGTTAAATTTTGCATGTTCTGTTGTGGTGCCTGGTCGTGCATTTCTTAGACGACTTATAGACCTTACTTGCAATGTATATAACCCAAACCATTATATCAGATTGAATTCAGAAGCAAGATGTGATATCAAAGCATGGCAAGATTTCATTGTGGATTTCAATGGCAAGTCAATTTTCCTTCAAGAGGAATGGACAGCTTCCTACAAACTTAACTTGTTTACTGACGCTTCTGGTTCATTAGGGTATGCAGCCGTTTTAGGATCGCAATGGTTCGCAGCATCTTGGCTGGAAGAACACAAATCATATCAGATTGCAATTAAAGAACTATTTCCAATTGTCCTGTCTTTGGAATTGTGGAGCCAAAAATTGAGAAACCATAAAATACTGTTTTTTTCTGACAATATGGCTGTGGTTGAAATCATCAACAAACAGTCTAGCAAAGATAAAACCCTCATGAGATTAGTGCGTCGTCTTGTGCTTGCAGGTCTAAATTTTAATGTTCTCTTCAGAGCCAAACACATTCCAGGAAAATCAAATGTTGTTGCTGACCACTTGTCACGTTTTAAATTTCAGGAGGCCAAAGCAATAGCCCCATGGTTAAATCCTCAACCAACACTTCTCCCTTCACAAATGGTGTTCATTTAACCACAGAGAGCCTCCAGTTACTGGTAGCAGCCATAGCACCATCTACTCGAAGAGCTTACTTGCGGAGTTGGACCTTGCTTTTAGATTATTGCAGCAGATCAGATTCCCCATTCACATTTCCTTGCTCACCAATTTTGATTTCCAACTTTATCAGCCATTTACATTTCCAAAATCTTAGTGCTTCAACAATTACATCTCATGTGTCGGCCATAAGCTATGTGCATAAACTTTGTAACGTTAATGACCCAACACATCATTTTGTGGTTCGCAAAATCTTGAAAGGCTGTCAACAGTTAAAAACTTCTCCAGATACTAGAATGCCCATTACTAAGCCCATCCTGCTAAAACTTTTATTGGCTTTACAAAACACTGTATCTGATAACAACAATATCATTATGCTTCGTGCTATTTTCCTTTTGGCTTTTCATGGATTTTTTCGCCTAGGAGAATTAGTTGTACAAGACAAAGAACACGTTACTAGAGTTCTTCAAAGGGCTGATCTTAATTTTGTCAAAGATCAGGGTGTACAAATCAGGCTCAGATATTTCAAGCACATGAAAAACAACCAACCTGTAACCATTTTGCTCTCCCCTAGTAAAGATGTTCAAATATGTCCTGTACGTGCCCTGTATTTGTACACTTGCAGTTTCAGCCACAAATCTGGTCCATTTTTCTCCTTTAAATCTGGTGCACCAGTTTCCCGTTCATTTGTAGTGTCAAACTTGAAAGCAGCTTTGACATTTTGTAACTTAAATCCAAACCTTTATAAAGGACACAGTTTTAGGATTGGTGCGGCAACAGAAGCCGCCCGCCTGGGTTTTTCTGAAAGTTATATTCAGCAGCTTGGTCGATGGCATTCAAATGCCGTTCAACGGTACATAAGGATCAATTCATTTTCATTATAAACATTGAAGCAATCCGTTTAATTTCCATATTACATGTACAATTACTCCCATTTAATTACACCCTTTTATGAATAATGATACAGGGGGAAACAGGCCAGTATTTGACTGCTGTTTCCGGAAATAGGCCAGTATTTGACTGCTATTTCCCATAACATACCTATGTTAGCAGGATATTTTTGCTTGATGAATAGTTTTTATGATTGATTTTTTCTTAGTTGAACAGGCCAGTATTTGACTGCTGTTCTTATGTGCCATGAACATTGTTGTAGGCCAGTATTTGACTGCTACACAATGTATGCTTTACTGTATATAGACTATACATTTAGTTTTGCCCCCAACTCATGACATTCACTTTGTGACACTTTGTTTTAGATATTTTCAATGTTCTTGAATTTTGTTGTGTTTGTTAAAATTTAATTTGTATCCATTTTACACGGTATTGCACAGGCCAGAATCTGTCTGCTGTGCTTATTCAGTCATCATTGAAATTGCAGTTTTAATTGTTTTACCTGGCTATTCTTGGGTGGCGCAGAAAGTCACTTACTGAAGGCAGCATGTTTCCTTTCTTTATGGCTTTTTTGTGCACCACCTTTTTGCTTCTTAAGTGTTTTTTACCAGTTATACTATTGGCTGGGCTAATTTTGTCATGTGTTTAGCAAGAATTATGTCATGTGACTAGTCAGCATTTTTAACTAGTCAATTTGTCATGTGACTAGTCAGCATGTTTATCTAGTCAATTTGTATGTACTATATATTTTGTTTTAAGCCCAGCCAATTAATTGTGATATAAGTTTATGTAATAGTTAAATGTAGTTTTTAGTCATTTGTTAGTTTCAATAAATGACATTTTCACTCAATGTTTCTTTCTTAATACTGTATATAAGAGGTTAAGCAAAAACAAGCTGCGAATAGCCAGAATTGTCCCCTCTCACTACAGGGAAAATTTGTGGATATAAATACCCTTAACAGTTTAATGAAATATAGTAAGAGTTTACCGATTTACATGGGCTGAAAGTCTGTCGAAACAGAACAGGACACCGACCATTTGATTTTTTAAGAAAGGTGGGGGGGACAGATTTTCGAATTTTCTGCTTGGATAATGTCCACATTTTAAGACAGCAAAATCAAAATTCCAGAACTCTTGCTTTTAATTGTCTATTGGCACTCGATTAAAATAAATCAGATACTAACAAAAAGTATTGAAAGGGCCGAATTTTAGGATTACAGAAAAGCAGGTTTTATTGTCTATGGAATGGCTGTTCAATCACAGGAGTTGGCATACCTATAAATTTTACCGAATTTTCAGTAAATAAAAAAAAATAAATACACTATACTATAAAAATAACAATTACAGGAGTTGGGATACCTATCAATTAAACTACAATAACAAGTGTTATCATTTTACAGAAAATTGATATCATTATAGTATTTATATTGTTTACTTACGGGATACGGAAAATTTCGGGGAAATGATAGGTATGTGTCTTTTTTGACATATTTTATTGCTTTCTTACAAAAGTCGTCATGTTACAAATTTTATCTAAGAAATAAATTATGCCAGAAAGGCCATATTCCAACTCCTGTGGTTCAATTAATGATAGCTTACTCTATTAAACTCAATTCAATTCAAATCTTTATTGCCTCAGAGTTGTACAACTCATCGGGATATCACAAAATGTGACGGGGGGGGGGGGGGGGGGGGGTTGTGAGGCTGCCTTCCCCCCCCCCCCCCCAACACACACATTCAATTTAGGATTTTTCGAATTCGAACAATTTTCCTGTTTTATTTTGCTTGTCAAACTTTCTAAGGTAATTTTAGATTTTTACACCCCCCCCCTGCCTTTTTAAAAAACGATACTACGTGCCTGCAAATAAATTTTATTCTGTTGAAATATATCATATGAGATATTATAACTGCTATAATATTGAGGTAAAATTTTGCGAGCCCTCCTGTTCGTTTTCCGTAGTATCTCCTTGATTAACATAGTAAAGTTTAATTTCTGATATTTATGTGGGTCAATTTTAAAGGTTAAAAACGATATATCACAATGACCGATTGCCTTATTTGAATTTAATAATATATTATACATCGAAATAATACTTCCTAAACAGAATTTACTCTGATTTGTGCTTTTTGTTTTCATGCGTTTAATTTATGATCGCTATTTCCCAGATATACGATCGCTTAATAAACGATACATGTCGTTCACGATCGCCTCGCAGTTGTCAAAATTTCCAATTAAAAGTTGTTTTGATGCTAATGTATACAGTTTTAATTTTAAAATTTTAGTTCATACCTCTAAGAATGACCTTCAATGTTGATAGATGATAACAATCTAAACTATCTCAAAGGATGGAAATTCGATGTTTGGAGCATTGTCGATTTGATCCGTAACATTTGCACAGAAATTATTTTCCAAATTTAAATCTTTTCTAGCATTATTTACAGCTGGCTATACTCTAGGACATACAAAACTGCTTTAACTTACTCCCTACGATACTTTCTTCTTCAGTGATTTTATCAGTGTAGCAGATCGCATCAGAGTTGTTTACAGGGGTGTTATAGAACATGTAGAATTGATGTTAAATAAGATAAAAAAAAACATCCAGTAACATGATTTTGTACAAAGATTACGGTCATCTATATAACTATTTTAGTCATCATCTTCTCGCTGGAATGTGTTTGTTACGCGGTCATCATACTGCAAAATTTCGAAAGCCTTTATCATTTCATTTTCTTTCGTTTGGGTAAACAACAACTACTGGTGTGGAGATAACATCGATGTTCGTTTAACCATTATCTTAAATTATTCAGTTTTATTGAATAATGTTTATAATCGCCGTCGAAAATTTTCAACCGATCCTCTCAGCCGACATGCTTGGATGACCGTAAACTATATTATGGTCATCGGCTTACCTACAGTGCGACTAAGCTACCATGAACGGTCATTCTGTAAGAAAACAGTCTCTTAATCATCCTAGGAGTACCGTACTTGTACGTCTTCCATCCCTTTCTTTCTCTCTAAGTTGCAGTTTAAATCCGCTAAATACATGTACATGTAGTAACCTAACAAATTAGACATTTTTGCCTAAATAAAACATTTATGCATATAAAATATCACAAATATATACATGTATCATAAATTTCTTTCTTCTTTCGAAAAAAAATAATTCTGGTTATAACGCGGTATTTGATTGGATAAACAATTTACTTTTTATTGTATAAATAGGGTTGCTTTTATGGCGTCGTTCTGAAAAAAATGTGACAAATTTCGATATAAAAGCAATTATTCACATTTAAATTACGAGGAAACTAATCCGAAGACATATTAATTTTTTTACAAAGATTTATTTCAAATCATCCCTACGTTAAATAACTGGAGAGAAAACAATTTTGTCTGCACCATTTGGAAGTTATTGTTAATTTTTCTGAAACTAATTCTTGCCCCAAAACGAGTCAAAATGACGTTTTCCCCACAGAATTCAATAGAATAACTTCGAAAATGTTACAAATGGATCTTGTATACTCAGCATAACATAAGTGAATACTTTGAAACTTTACGATGATACATTGCTTCTGTTCTAGCTTTAAATACGGATTTTTCTGTTTAACTGACCAATACAAAAAGATATATCATCTCTTATATCAAGGATGTTTGGTCTGCTACCCAGAACCATGGAAGCAACATCTTCAGAACGTACTGAATTTAAATTTTGCATTTTATTTACTTCATAAGAAATTAAAGCTTTTGAATTGCAGCCGGGAATCAATTTTAAACAAGACATCGGAGGTGTAAATGAAAGCAGCGATAGAACAACCCAAGTTAATAAAGTTTAAATTTATCATCGAATGGCAATTATGGTAAAGTGAAATATAAGCGTATTGACTGAATACATATATTCTTTTGCTAAATACGTGCATTCTTTTTAAAAAAATAAAATAAAATAAAATAAAAAAGGACCAGTGTCAACGTCCCACAGTGAGATTCGAACACGTGGCGTAAGGATCAACTCTTTACTCCGCAACTCTAGAGCAAACGCTCTACCACTGCAGCACGCGGCGACTATATGTTATGTGATCTACTAAAATGTATATTTGATTGCGTATTTTCCACCATTATTAAGCGTTTACTTTCATCTTTATAACAAGTTATCTACGAATTTAGTTCCACATCTTTGTACATGAAATTTATTTGCAAAATTTGAGGTAAAAATTTTTCGGGGATCATACTTTGAAATCAGAGGAATGTCCCTCAGTATTATCCCCGTCATCACTTATAATTACAGTATTCCTTTCTCTAAGGCAAAAAAAAAAAATGATGAAAATGGGGAGGCATTTTTACTTCATGTTTGAAACAAAGTGAAGAAGCAGTAACCAGTCGGACCCAGCACTGACATATTCAGACAGGACCCCTCACCCCCCACCCCTTTCTTAGGGTTTTCTTTTTTGTCATAATTTTTAATTTATTTATTATCCCCTCGCGCAACTAGTTGCGGAAGATATAGCATCGGTACTGTGCGTATGTGTGTGTGTTAGTGTGTCCGTTACAGCTTGTGGGCAAGATTTAAAGAGAACCTTTGCACTATCATTTCTCATCCTTCGCATACTTAAGGACGAACCCTATTCATTTTCAAGTTAATCGGTAAAATAGTTCTTAAAATATCGCGTTTTTACTACCTTCAAACCCTGCAATTTTATGTACGAGTTGACAATACTCACTTCCAGTAAATTTAACAGGTTAAAATTCGGATCGTTTCGATAGAGCCGCTTCGGTAAGTTCTACTTTGTAGTTGCGTCTTGTCATATTATTGTGCGTATCATGAGAAAGTTTGTATGAAATAAAAGCGTCATCTCCGTTACTGAGTAACTGAAATAGTTTGATGAACGTAGCGGTTTCAATGCCAAATTACCACACATGTGTGATTACAATAGGGGCCCGTGGAATTTAATCTTAAGGCGCATGTAATTCTTGAAAGCTATAAATATAAAGTTTCACAAGTTTCATTGACATTTCAACACCGGTATATTGTCATTTTTCAATACTAAAAAATATTACTTCCGTGCGTATTTTCAGATTTGATGCTTATTGCATGCTACTGTGAGGTTTACTCAGGTAGGTTAATTAATGAAATTTAGAGCATACGTGATATGTTTCTGCTAGGAATAAGGGAAACTGCCTTATTAGGTATGCTTGTTATAACCCAACCTACCCCCCCCCCCACCCCCCCACCCCCCCCGCCCGGAATATATCCACCTTGACTTTTGTTGAAATTTAATTAGTGTTGCAATACATTTTAATTTCTTTACCTAATTTTAAACTTTATATAGTAATACTGGGTACCCTTGATTACTAGGCCTATATGATTGTATTTTGTTTAACGTCCCTCTTGAGAAAGAGCTAGGTTCACTTTATGCATAAAATGGCCCTGTAGATATACCAGTTTATTGACTTACACTTTATGTTCCTTTTTAAACATCAAGACAAAGTAGGGACTTAGTGCTTTCATTTCCTATTAAAAATTTTCTCCTTAAAGCCAAGGTCTTGGAAAACAGGCTTCATGGAATTGCAATGTTCTTGAATTTTAAGGACAACAAGTATCTTTGAGTACTTTCACAGAAGAGAAATAATATGAGCGCACCCTCTGATCTAAAAAATAAAACATGTTTTGTAATCCTCAGGAATAGTTCTATCATTTAATAGTTGCATATTTTAGATCAGAGGTTGCGCTCTATATTAAATATCGAAAAATAGCTTTAAATATTGGCTGTTTTTGTAGAATTTTTCAGGATATGAGGAAAATGACGCATTTCATGACGTCATAATGCATTGGCTATCCAGAAAATTACGTCATTTTT